AAAAAAAATATATGCTAAGAAAAATTATTTATTTATATATTAATACATTTATTATATATACATGTATGTAAATGGGAAAATTTATTTGTATTTACATGTATTTGACGTATTGTTGCTTTGGATTAGATACAATTATTTCAAATTTTTAGATGATTGTGACATCTTTGTCATGTTGTAATTAGTGAATTTACTGGGGGGCAATAATACAAAATTACATTATTTTGAAACTTTCGTGTTCACTTGTTTAAGAAATCAACTATTCCTTATCAAGGTATTATATGGTTATTTCAAATGATAATGTTTTGTAGAAATTTTAAAATCGAATTCAAATTTAGTATTTATACTTGAAATAAGATAAGTTCAATAAAAAGATTACATGTAAAAAATTCTGAATTTACTTGGTCAACATATGAATGGAAGTAAATATTGTTAACTGATAAAACGTCGTCGATATATCTGAATGTCGATTAGAAGCCCACATCAAGTGTTTTCTTCTTCTCGTGTAAAATTTTTGAATAAAGTCTGCTTCATAAGAATATTAAAATAGGTCGGTTAATAAGGATAATTAACGAGCACAATTAAGGCCCATCGGAATTCCAACAGTTTGTTGGAAGACCTAGTGTCCGAAGACTTCATAAATGTTGTCAAGGATGAACTCCAGCATCCTTTAATATCAACTTCGGACTACTTGTGTATAGATTCATAGCGATTTTTAACAAAGTAATAATTTTGTTGAAAACCAATCTAACCATACATTGCACCTGGTGGGCAACCAAAAATGGTTTGTAAATACTGCATTGATAAAGCGACTTTAATCAATAAATGAATTGCATCATCTTTATTCTAAATCAAGGAATTAAACGAGACTTTTCTGTTAGTTGAAGTTTGATAATGCTGTTACGTCATCAGAATACTGAAGGGGATTACCTGAGCATTGCGTTTGCATAGAAGGGTCACGCAGCTTTAAAAGATAAAACTTGACCCGTCAAAAAGCACTCACACAACCTCAAATTTGGGTGGTACTGAAGGGATGGACAGTAATCCCCTTAGTACTCTGATGACGTATCTAATTCCAAACAGACTTCAACTTATAGATAAGTCTCATTTAATTTCTGAATTCTGTTACGTCATCATAGCAGAGGAATCTCGTGAGATGTTAAAGCCTTGATGCGTCAAGTTGATCCAATATAAAGTAAACGAGAACCTTTCAAACTTCTTACAGAATTTATATTAAAATGATCATTTTTATCATTCAATTAAATCTGAACACCAGTACTCAAATTGGACCTCAAAAACTAAACTTTTATTTGATTTTCTGAATATGCTGTATACATACACAAACTTATCAACATGCAGCATGGAATTTTCAAACTAAGAACTCACTGTCTTTTTAAAAATCAATATGAACTGGAGCAGTACGTCAGTATTGCTTTACTGAAACCTGTCCGATCAGTTATGACAATGTTTCAGTGTGTATTACCACTTCGAATTGAAACTGAACGTTATAAATCTGAGCCACCCCAAGACAGAATTTGCCAGTTTTGCGAAAATAACGAAATTGAAAATGAAGAACACTTTTTTACTACACTGTAAATTATATGAAATTAAAAGAATAGACTTCTTTCGTAAAATAGTTTCAAAAAGAGGGTGTTGCAGTTCTTTTGTTCTTTTCCCTAAAGTTGTAACAGATTAAAAGAAAAATTTTAAGTAATAGAAAACGGTCTTAATTTTTTAAGATACAAGGGTATATACAGCACTCTGTAGAACAATATTTGGAAACTGTATATCGACTTCCGATTTGCCATTAAATGAAGTGTAAATTAGTCACATAGCAAAATAAGTCTGTTTCTGTTTTCCAAATAGGGAATCCCCATTGCTCTGAAAAATTGCCACCTTGAAACAGAATGAATTTGATATACGCATAAGGAGACAGGGTTTTCCTTCAAAACTGCCATTTACGATTTTTGTTTCAAAGAGGCATATTTTTGAAAATCACAAAAATCGAATAAAAATTATCCATCCGAAATGCAAAATGTGCACATAAAATAGCACGTGAAACTTCAGTGTCCGAACTGGTCTAGTGGTAAAGCGTGTGGATTCTGTGTGAAGATTCTTTTACCTGAGAATGGGTTCAAATCGTGGAATAGCTGGTATATACAGTCATATTTTTTCTTCTAATATAATGAAAGTACAATGTAACATCTCTCTTGAGAGAGAAAGAGAGATGGAGAGAATGTCAGAAAGTTAATGGGTAATATTTAAAAATTCAAGTGCAGAATTAAATTGTTTTCCTTGATATTATGATCTGAAACAAATAAGACATACATTTAATGTTATTATTTAGTGGCGATGTCTTAAAAAAAAGTACTATTATTTTAAATGATTTAAATTTCTTTCATACTCATTTCGTTTCATTATTGTTCTGTTAATTAGTGGCTCAGATTTGACTTGAAACAACTAAACTGAAATGGCTCAATGGAATTCCTTGGATATTGCATCAACAGAGTGATTATTGGACACATTTTTATGAATTGAAAATCTATTAACGCACGCTGTCTACAGTACATCTTTCAAAATTATGTGCGAGGTGCACTTGCTATTAATTGTGCTTTTTATCGTTCCAACTTTTCTCGTAAAAAATGCCGAGAGTGACTATAGATGTGAAAAAAAGTTTACTTACAGGTCGCCAGTCTTTGTTAGGAAAAAACTATGCATGAAATAAACGTTACTGACTTGAAAGTTAAAACCTCTAAGGCCTTTCTTTAAATGTTTTGTTATAACAAGCTGGACATACCCGTCGTATAAATAAAGTCATATACGTAGCATTATCTATATTTAGAGATAACTCTTCATGCGTCGTTGGTATTTACATGTTCTTCTCGATATGGGGAATAATCACGAGTTTCTGCAACACCGTCTTTGTTTGTTTGTTTGTTTGTATGTTGTTTAACGTCCCTCTCGAGAATTTTTCACTCATATGGAGACGCCACCACTTGCCGGTGGAGAGCTACAAATTTTGTCCTATACTCGGCGCTCACGGCCATTAAGCAGTGAGGGATCTTTTTCGTGCTAGCACCTACTGCGACACGGGACCTCGGTTTATACCGTCTCATCCGAAGGACTGGTCTCCACGTCCCACAGTGGGATTCCACCGTCTTTGTCAAATTTGTCTTTAGATAATATATTTTTTTCAGATATTTTATGTAAATTTCCCAGACATTCTGCAAACCTTATATTCGATGCTTTTAAAACTCGTCAGAACTTCACAAAAGAACATTCTAATATAATTTATCTTCATTTATGTGCCTGTATATATGTTTATTGTTAAAATATTAACAGTGACATATAGGTCCTTTGGGCCGGGTGTATAAAACTAAGTATATTGTTGTAAATGCACTGTATTACTTTATAATACACATGTTACTATAATAAATAATTTACTTACTTACTTATTTACTTCTACTGTAATTATGTTGTTACATAAAAGATATAAAACTTTAGCAACTTTTTGCACATTCATATATATATAAAGTGTATTAAGGTATTCCACCCCAAATGAAATTGAACGCATAGCAGATATAAATGGAGTGAATACTTAGTATATTTAGATATAATTTAATTTTGTTTGTATTCTACCCTCTGCATGATTGGTTAATACCCAAAAAGGAACACAAATTATTTCTGTATAACCTGGTTTGGTATGGGACCCCCCCCCCCCCCGACAACCAGCTAAATCATCTGTATCCATACAATCCTCTCATTTTCAGTCCTCGGGATTCATGGAAAATTCCAGATTTAATAAATGTACCTTGAACTTCAAACAATAATTCGATCTTACCGCATGTAAACAAACAACAAGGCTGCCAGGCCATTGTATCAATTTTTACCTCCCCTCGCTTCCCATCACGTCCGTTACTTCCGTTACTACGGTTGTATTATTGAGCGGCAAATTTGAACTAATAAAAAGCAACGAAATTTTACACCCATAGTTATTTAATGATTTTAAAATTAAATTATAAGGAATGACTAAAATTCTTGGCCAAATTATTCGCGGATTATAAAGCGTAAACTGACCCAAACCAGGTTATATACTCGAATAATTTGGCCAAGAATTAGAGTCATTTCTAAAATATATTTACTATTAATATATGTTAGAGTGTGTCCTAATTTTTGACCTTGACCTGCCCTTGATTATCTCCCTCTGGTTTTAATCAATAAACATAACAGAAATGTCATTTAACAAATAAAACATGGTAAATAAATGGAACCAAAATGAATAATATATTTACTTACAGTGTATATGTAGTCCTCAGAGATCGACACCGGTTAAATAAATTACTATCAATGGATTTAACCTATATAATGTAACACAATGAGCGTACAAATTATAATTTTGATTGAGATATTAATTCTGTACATTGCGTTCATTAATATTTTAAATATTGTGTTTTGAATTATAATTTATACTATACTTTACTATAATTTATACTATCAGTGTGTAGAGCGACGGACAATAAAATTTTACGATTTGTTGTTCTCTTACAGTGACACTTCCAATCAGACTTCGTGCAATGTACAAGATACATATAATGTTAATGTAAAAAGAGTACATCGCCGTATCCTGTAAGGGGATGAGAGACAGAGCTTCAGTGAGGGGCGGACTATATTAATATTAATGAAGTGACTGATTGTTGTTACCAACAAATGTTCACATTGTTATTCATCCCTATGACGCTACCCCCACCCCCGGAAAAAATTCTGGATCCGCATCTGCACTCATTTAACTTTCTTTGCAAAGTAGTAAATTTCTGAACTTATAGATTAACATTTATGTTGATTACATTGGATTTAACTTTCCTTTATTTTTAGCATGATAATTAATTTGCTAACGTCCCGTTACAGAAAGTGTTAACCAATTACGTAACCATCCGAATTTCTGATGAACGAGATAATGACTCTATGACAAAAATTGGAGATACTTCCTGTTTACGTCGCATTTGTTTACAAATGCGTTTTGGGCGAATTTTTACATTGTCGATGCCTCTGATTTCCGATTTTCCAGTTGTAGATTTTATATGTTGATGGTGCATCGTTATTGACATGCATATCCGATCGCTCCATGAAAAGAATGTAACCTGAATTGAAATATAATGACAATGGGGATTTTGGCAATCGTGAAGTATGCCTGGTTTTTATCATGTTTAGGCGCTTGTATGGGAGACCTGTCAGCAGAAGGCAAAAAAATTACCAAAAGAAATGATCTTAATATACCACAACAAGTGCACATAGGATTTGGCGAGACGACTAATGAAATGATAGTGATGTGGTCTACAGTACAAAACGATTCTTCTGTTGTGGAGTACCATACTGGTGACAACTCTGTAGAAAATGTAAAAACTGTTCGAGGAAACACCGTTTATTTTCCAGAAAATGCTAATGGATTGCGGTATCTCCACAGAGTTGTATTGTCTAAATTGCAACCAGGTGTGAAATATTATTATGCAGTCCGTGGTGAAAAGCGTGAATCGCTTAGTGACCAGTTTAGTTTTATAACTCCAGACTCAGATGGAAAGCAGATATTTATGATTTACGGTGACATGGGTACAATGACAAAAAGTCTGCCATTCATTGTTTACGAAGCAACTGGGGAAACAAAGTATACATCCATTTTTCACTTGGGGGATATTGCATATGATCTTGGAAGAGAAAATGGTGCCATTGGTGACAAATTTTTCACAAAAGTGGAAAGGATGGCTGCACGCATTCCATACATGACCATTCCAGGTGATCATGAAATGTTCCCAGACAGCAAAAATCATTATTTGCATAGAATTTCAAATCCAGGGAAAGAATGGCCAATGCATCCAGAAGATTTGTGGTACAGTGTAAACATTGGAAAAGTCCATTTCATTTGTATTTCAACAGAGGTTTTTTTCACAAACAAGATGAATATTCAGAAGATCATGGATTGGTTGGTTCAGGATTTGGAGGAAGCCAATACTCGGCGACAGAAGTATCCCTGGATAGTTGTGATGGCCCATCGTCCCTTGTACTGCTCCACTGACGACAAAAATGAAGACTGCACAAAGGCCCATTCTGTAGTTCGAACCCATTTGGAGGACATGTTTTATTTTTATGGTGTTGATCTAGTTTTCAGTGGCCACCAACATATGTATGAGAGAACTTGGCCTGTCTATAAGAACAGAGTTTTAGCTTACAATTATCTTGATCCAAGAGGAACTGTTCACATTGTTATTGGCAACATGGGAAATGTCTACATGACAGAGAAGGGGAGCAGACCTGGGGGGCCTTGGTCTTCATTTATTTCACCCTCAGAACATGAGATGTATGGAAGATTTTATGTTTACAACAGTACCCATATTTACTGGGAAGTGCGAGGAGCCCAGGATAATGATTTGTATGACAAACGCTGGATTATTCAGAGAATTCATGGTCCATTCAACAAAAGTTCTATTTTTATTCCAGATCCACTTGGTGCAGCAGGAGCTGCCTGGCGTCGACAACAGGAAGACTCGAATGATTTCATTAATCTCAGATTTTTCTACATGAATGGGGATGACTATACAAATCGTATTACTGTTTTAACTTTTACAGTCATAATTTTACTCTTTGGTTTGTGTTTCAAAAAGAAGATATTGAATATTGTCCGGTTGTGTTTTGTTAAACAAGAATCATTGCCAAAGTAAAATTGTTTATGAAGTAAATGTTATTGTATTACAGGACTTATTCAAGAATAGTTTTGGGATATATTGTGCAGAATACAGAGTCCTGCAGAGGATAAATTGTTTATGCATCAAATATTTGTTAATCCATTTCATTAGGAAAAACTGATCATATATTTGTACAAGTATGGTAAGAAAATTTATGCAGCAAAAAGAGTGATGACATACATGTACCAGCATATGCAACTTTTACATTTATTTATAAAAATATGTGGTTAAATCATGTAAGTTTTGTACCTTTAATATGTATGGTACAGCTCTTGACTGAAGAAAAGAAGAGTGAAAAATGTTCTTTTATCATGTTTATGTTCAAGACATCTGTTGGAAAATATGAAAATGGTAGGGTACATGTATGCTTGTATGTATACATGTTATGTATCTACATAAAACAAGTGTTTTCTAAATTGTGAATGCTTTGATTTTTAGAGTGTGCTCATTTTAAATGCATATCAAATGTTGTTTGTATGTTTATTACTCAAACAGTTCTAATATGTACAGTTGATGAAATTTTTGAGTTTTTATACAATATGATTATATTTTAATTCAATTTGTTTGTTTGTCTTTCATGTGTTCAAATTCCAAACATCTGAATTTATAAATAGACTGAATGAAGTTGTCATTTACTATTTAATTTTTTCCCCATACACACCAGGTTAAATAATTTGCTGTTCTTTGAAAATCTTAATTTTTAAACTGTATAGTTTGTTAATAGTTTGAGGGAAAACATGTTTTAGCCAGCATTTTCCACATGTTTTTTACAGTAGTATTAAAACTAATTCTTGAACTTGAGATGGAACTATGTTGTACATTATACATGTTATATTTAATATGTTGTTTCCAGTTCATGTTCACCCTTCATCATGTTTATGTTTTAAATAATAATGTTTTATCCGTGTTGTATTAATGTGAGAGAGAATAATCAGTATAGTCAGTAAAAAAAACATGTATTTTTATTCAAAATGGATGTATAATTATTTGGAACATTATTTGAGAAAGAGAGAGAGAGTATATTAATGTCACATGAAAAGGAAAACATGTCTTGGTGCATATAAACATTTCAAGAGTGCTTGATGAAATGAAGAAATGCTTATAAATTAAGATAATGCTGAAAATGTTTCATCTGTTTTGTTCTTTTCAGTTTTTTTCTCCCTTTTGAGAAGATAGAAGGTAAATATCTTGAGTGGAGATTGATACATGTATTTCAACAAATCTCACAACCATGTTTCCCAACAAGGAAACACAAAATTTCCTTTGTTCATGACTTCTTAAGGTTGGGAATTATAAGTATTACACAAATACCTCACACTGATGGGTGAGGTATCAAAGTCAACTACTTCTGTATATTGCTAAAATTATGATACTTCCCTTTAAAATTGAATGATGGCAAAGAAATAATTTCAAAGTTTAGCAAGTTTGACTCTGCCAAAGATGATGTCATTTTCTGACCTGAGCATTTTTATACATGTATCCATGTGTGAACATTAAATGGTCTATTCATTGATCTGGTAACTCTGTTAATACTTCAAGTCTCGACATACATATACCTTATCTTTTTTTGGAAAAAATATTGACATCTGCATGCTCTAATAGAAATCCTGGATATTTATAACCCTTGTTAATCTTCAATGCAATGCATTACTGTAAAATTAGTTCAAGCCAGATGTACACAGAAAAAAAATTCTCAACAATTTTACTTCAGATGGATTGATATGTAATCATTCTTATTTACCATATTTACAGGGCCATAATGGAGTGTCTTGGTATATATGCTTTGACATTCTCTCAGATATATATACAAACTTGCAAGATGGTTTGTATTATACATATACTGTCAGTAAATCAATTAATAAGCAAAACTTGAGTTACTTGGATTTTTTATTTTGCACACTATTTTTGTATAGCGTTAATATTTCAAAATATTTATTGACACAATATATTTGTAAAATATCTGCAATTTTAGATAAAAAATGTCCTGATATCTTCTCAAACATTGGATTTAGGTTGGGTAGCTCTAGATCAGCTAATTTAAGAAACACAAATCCTGCACAGAATATCAGGGCCCAAATAAAAGGTTGCTGAGCCTCCTTAATAGGGAATTTTCTATAAATAGTAATAGCACCATATACTGCAAACAGTATATGTAGAGCTAAGGCAATTTCAAACCCATGCATGTGCACAAGAGTCAGACAGTAGGACAATAAGGAAATGGCCATCCAAGAGACCATGCCCTTTATTCCAATCCCTGAATCTAAGTGACTTGACCACACAAACACCCACATAAAGAATGGGAGGGTGTACCACTGGTCAAGCACAGCTGATCGATGAAACTGAGTCAAGATACGCACAGCTTGAATAGCACCATAAAAAGTGGCCATTATGTTAAAGGTGTAAAATAAAACACTGTCAGATGATGTGATCTGTTTAACATGGAGAGACACAGATGTCTTTGCACAATAAAATGCTCCAACAACAATGTAGCCTAAATTGACAAATGTATTGTATGGCATGTTAAGCCATGGTGGGAACACTTTACTCCATTTTGCTGAGTAGCGCTCTGCATAGAACTGTCTGCCAACCTCAGTGTGCACGGTGTCAAAGTATCCCAAGTACACAAGATACATCATGACTGCTGTAATCACTGTCACCACAAGAAAGGCCTGCATCATCATGGACACCATAGCTGTTCACATATAAAACACCTGTTAAATAAGAAAGTAAAATTGGTTATAATACCAAATAATGATTTAATTCAATTGAAAGAATATAAATATTTTGGTTGTGTTGAGGGGGGGGGGGGGCTCATGCTTTCTGGTAGGTTTATAACATTTATACTTCTATATATATAAATACTAAATAAATGTATACATTTTCTCCCTTTCAGCTTATACAATCGACATACACACCCCTTGCTCTTTGAGGCCGAGGGGTATCATGTATTATCCTCATCCCCATGATATGATGAAAATCATATATTTGCACCCCACCCCCCCCGCCACTTGTTTTGTATGACTTTTTTGTATCACCCCTTTGGTGGCTATACTCAGCACGCTCAAAGCATTAAACAAAAACAATTATCTTAAAAAAAAAATTACAGAGTTATTGCTCTTTGCTAACAAGTATCATAATGAATAAAGTCCAATAACTTGAACAAAATGGCCAGATCAAAACGTTGTTCAGCAATATTAACTTTAGGAGAAAAAAACAAAAAGCTTACAAAGTGAATGTACAAATCATCAAATGGTTGTCTTGAGCAACAACTGAACCGGTGTACTATTGATTCCGATGTTTTCCCTGAGGGAAGAAACTGCGTTTTCGCAATAGAATGAATATGTCATTTATGCGTTGTTCAAATCGCTACAAAAATTTTGCAGGCTAAACAAAGAATGAAAAGTTGCAAAGAGCATGTTTTTTGCTTGTTTGATATTAGAAATCAGTTGTGCATGACATTTTCATCTTTATACGGAGCATAAAAAAAAAAAAAAAAAAAAAAAAAAAAAAAAAAAAAACAGAGGCCAAAGGCCACATCTTTCACCCATCCAATGAAGTCACCTTGGCATATAGCATGCTCTTCAAAGAAAAGCCTTCCCCTCTATACCTAATGGCAAGTGCGCACATCATTTTGAACGATGTATAGACGTACTGTACAGCGTGCGTTAATATTTTTCATTATTATATAGTCTATTTATAGTCTCTATATAATCTATACAAACGCGAACAGTTCATAACACTAAATATTCACTGGTTTTGAAGCCGTATTCACCGGAGAGTCGGTGCGCTTGCAGCGGCATTGTGACGTCACAATCAACACCTAACTCAATGAATTATGGAGATAACGAACAGTATTCAAGCTCAAAAGTCCATTAAGCAATACAAAATAGGAGCAGAGCAAACACGGACCTCCAAACATTAGAGGTGGGATCAGGTGCCATGGAGGAGTGAGCATCCCCTGCCGACCGGTCACACCCGCCGTGTGCTCCTTGTCATGATCGGGAAATAACGGAAAATTCCGTCGACAATTCAGTGTATAAATAATGGCCTAACAATTAGTATGAAAAACGTCAGTCAGCATTTGACTCAATGATAAATTGTATTTGATGATAAGGTCATTGTATCGACCATAGAACTTACGAAATGATGACTTTAAACGAGACAGCTGATATTCTTGTTTCATCAACTTATTTGTCAATAATTTACCTCGTTTTAGAAATTGTACATACGTAGAGCATGCTCTTGCGTATCGAATCAACTGAAAGATATATACCCCGTATGCAGGTGATGAAGGTATATTGCTGCATAAGTAAGGGAAGTTGACGATTGAAAAGTTAAAGTCATCACGTTTATCATAAAGCTTGGTTGTTAGATTACCATTAACGTCTTTTTCAAGTAAAATATCCAAATATGAAACAGATGTGGCAGACTCTGTGGTATCTTTTATTTCAAGTTCACCAGATATATCGTATCGACATAAGAATGGAAATAACCATTGTTAATTGACAATACGTCGTCGATATATCTAAATGTCGAGTTGAAGGCCACTGCAAGTGTTTTCTTCTTTTCACGTACAAGATTTTGGACAAATTCTGCTTCATATGAATACAAAAAAGGTCTGCTAATAACGGGCCGCAATTGGTACCCATGGGAATTCCAATAGATTGTTGGAAGACCTGGTCTCCAAAAACCACATAGATATTGTCAATCAGAAACTCAAGCATCTTTTTAATGTCAACTTCAGAGTACTTGTGTGTACAATCAGAATGTTTTTTAACAAAATAATTATGCAAATGACCAATGACAAGATAAGTATATTTACAAGTTCCATTTTTATTGAAAAAGCAGCTGTCAATGATATCAAAAAGCCTGGACTTTAATTTATCGTGGGGAATGGTTGTATAAAGTTGAAAAGTCATAGGTTTTTAAGCTGTTGATTTTGGTAAAATCTTGTGATTTTAAATTTTCCAAAAGTTCCTTGGAATTCTAAAGTATCCACATCTGATTTACACCACTTCTCGAATATATTGTTGCACAGTACTCTTGAAGTTTCTCCTTCACCATTGTTAATATCTTAGTGAGGAGTAAAGATAGAGGCTTGGTTGAACATTTACTGGAACCTACTATGTATTTTTGTTTATAAGGATTTTTATGAAGTTTCGGTATCCAATATAAATATGGTAATTCAAATTCATTTTGGTTGTTTGGAATATTAAAAATATTCAAAACTAACATATGATTTTGAAGAATTTCTTCCATAGAAAGGGAACTATGACTATAAGTTGGATTACCACTTGTGGAATTAAATCCAAGTTCCTCTAAAATACATTTAATATAATGGGCCTTACAAACAAAGACAATGTTGTTACCTGCTTTGTCAGCAAAGAACGTTGTAAACAGTGGTTGCAACGGCCGGAGCAAGCTGTGTATATGAGCAGGAAAAACATATGCCAAGCCTATCGCGGGATTATTTTCTAAATATTACGACGTCTTACAAACAGCAAAAGGAAAACACGAAAGTTATAATTTGTAATTTTTAATATTTCTACGACAGAAGTTCGTAAATGGAAGTGGTATCATCATACAGCCTTCAATGTCTTATTTATTCAAATCCGGATTATATAAAAAAAAAAAAAAACAATTATGGACTCTTTCGGTGGTGAATATAGTTTGTTATTCACCAGAAAAATATCAATATTAACCTCGGCTTCGTCTATTATACAATTATGGACTCTTTCGATGGTGAATATGGTTTGTTATTTTTTCTGGTGAATAACAAACCATATTCACCACCGAAAGAGTCCATAATTGTATAATACTCGTATATAAAAATGTGTCCAATAATCACGCTGTCGATGCAAAATTTGGCCGGATTAGACAGAATCCGGAGTGCAGGAAAAATGCAGGACAGTCTAAGTTTTGAAATTTATTTCGTTCTTTAATTTACAAGTACAATGCATTTGTTTAGAAAATAATAATTTTAAAAATGAAAAATCATTCATTTTTTTGTAGTCTACAAATTTTTCAAGAGCAGCGCATGGATTCCCAAGTTACTGTCAATTTTTCTTTTTCGTTCTTAAAGTTCGAGACTTTTAACATGAAATGTTTTATATTAAGGACCCCGAGTTAAAATCTACTGACACGTACATTGTAGATATCAAGCGCGAGTTTTGCAAGTTAAAAAGTGCATTTAACATAACCATAAACACAAGTATTTACGATTTGATAATTATTGAATTGACATTTTAATTTTCATGAACATTTACGTCTTCCGTCCCATGTTATGGCGCCATTTTGAAAACGAGACGTTTGAGTTTCGATCCCGATTTATATTTGATTTTGTAAATCGTGTACTTATATTGTCTTTGATTTTATTTTATACTGTATTAAATAGAGTTAAAAGCAAGTTAAACGTATATTTCTTTTCTTTTTTTTTAATTTATTTGTGGGCGGTGTCACCACCGCGTTTCAATTCGTCTCATGGCACTTATGAAAACACACACGTTAGAACATCTACCACGAAAGGTGTTACTTGCATTGAAGTGACTCAGGTAATTTTTTGTGGCCGGATTAGAGGAAATAATTATCGTTAATTATGAGCAGTTGGGACCAATATGGCCGTTCGGAATACAGAATAGACAGTATCCGGACTACACAGAATTTTTTCTAATATATTTGTTTAAGAAGTGCACGGGACTAAAATTTATAGCCGAAATGGACAAAATTCCGGAGTACTCAGAATCCGAATTAGACAATTTTACTGTACTTTATTTTTTAAGACATCGATCGCCACTAAATAATAACATTAGATATATGTCTTATTAGTTTTAGATCACAATATCTAAGAAAACAATTTAATTCTGCATGCATTTAAAATATTACCCATTAACTTTGTGACATTCCTTCCCACTTTCTCTCTTTCAAGAGAAACGTTACATTGTACTTCCATTATATAAGAAAAAATATGTTTTTCTGTACCAGCCATTCCAGGATTCGAACCCTTTTCTCAGGTTAAAAGAATCTTTGCATAGAGTCCACACGCTTTACCACTAGACCAGCTCCGACAGTGAAGTATCATGTGCTATTTCATGTGCACATTTTGGATTTCGGATAGATAATAATTTTTATTCGATTTTTGTGATCTTCAAAAATATGCCTCTTTGAAACAAAAATCGTAAATGGCAGTTTTGAAGAAAAAATCTGTCTCTTTATGTGTATATCAAATTCATTCTGTTTCAAGGAGGCAATTTTTCAGAACAATGGTGATTCCCTATTTGAAAAACAGAAAAAGTTGACTTATTTTGCTAAGTGACTAATTTACACTTCATTTAATGACAAATTGGAAGTCGATATGCAGTTTCTAAATATTGTTCTACATTGTGCTCTATGTACCGTTGTATCTGAAAAAAATTAAGACCGTTTTCTATTACTTAATATTTTTCTTTTAAACTGCTACAACTTTAGGGAAAATAACAAAAGAACTGCAACATCCTCTTTGTAAATATGTCTTTGAAATATAATTTTATTATCATATAAAAACCAACAGTCTCAGAGGTTGTACATTTCGGAATAGAACTATAGTAATCATGAATATAGAAATTTTGATTCGGAAAAATAACATTTATATACTGTTTGATGTGATCCATTGAATTAATTTGTACAATATGAAGGACATTTGTTGGAGTGAAAGAGTAAGAATCCAGTCTGTTCGGTTGAGGTTTTTGGAAAGATTTGGTAAAAAATCACTTTATGATCAGACTATTATTGTTGGATATTATGAGGAATCACTGTCAAATAGTCATTTATTTCATTGCAATGAGTTTCCTCCATTACTCGATGATCTCCTTCCATAGAACCGTTTGCCCCCTCAAAGGAGGTTGAGTGTGGTAGCTGATATCCTTCCAAATCTGTTAATCCGGAGACTGTAAGGGGTACCTGTTGATTCTGCGGATCAGGGACTGCAGAGTTTATTGTGTTTTCGTAGTCCTCTTTTGCAATCTCCATTTCAAATTCTTCTAATTGATTTTCTAGAAGGGGTTTTGAATCTTGCATACTAATGATTTTATTCTGGCCTTCTGATTCATTTTGTTCAAGAGGAGAATAACTAGATCTTGTATTTGGTAAAGGTGAAATGTTAGATATTTCTTCATAATGGATTTCTTCTTGGACACTGATCGGACAACTTGCATTTGTTTTTAACCGTAAGCGTCGTTTTGACGATAACTTCTTGCAAATGAATTTACACGTGAATACAACGAAAAGAGTTACCAAAATTAATCCCACTCCAAATATACCCATCATCAATAAGTTCCGAGTGGTAAATAAAGTGTCAGAAGACTTGATGGTGGCTTTTGGCATGACACTTTCACCGGAAGTGTGATTTACTACCCCTTTTTCTGTGATGATGGATACGAAAATCCCGTTTTCTGTTGACATCCCGAATTTCATTGTGGTCTGTTTTGTTGTGTAAAGCTGGGTAGTTATTTTCTCTACAAAAAGAACGCATTTTAATGATTCTAATGATTAGATTTTTATTAATTAGACGGGACTGCTGCTACCATACTATTAAAGGTGCTTGGACACAAATTTGAAGTTAATATTTTGTCAAGTTTTCGGTATAATATCATGACTTATATGTTGCTATAGCATTTCAAACCGAAATAAAATTAAAAAAAAAACAAAAAAAAAACTTATTTTATCTGGAAATTATTGAAACTACAAATTTCGGGACGCGTTTGATTGATACATCCTAGCACTTCCATAAAGTAAACTTTATCCTTAATACTTCAGAAAAGTAAAGTTTTTGTTGTGTATTAACGAAATATATTCAAACTATAATCCAGAAAATTTAGAGTAGAAATGTAAGAAAGCAAAACCAATTCACCAGTATTGTCAGTCCGTGCTCAGTGATGTGTGCAGAGTTTAACAAATTGAACACACCCGTGAAACATTAACAATAACAGAGCTCGTGCCCTGTTTACAAAAAAAGTTAACGTTTCACGGGTGTGTTCAATTTGTTAAACTCTGCACACATCACTGAGCACGGACTGACAATACTGGTGAGTTGGTTTTGCTTCCTCACATTTCTACTCTTTATTTTCTGGATTATATTTTAATATTTTTCATTAATATACAACAAAATTTCTACTTTTCTAAAGTATTTTAAAAGGATAAAGTTTACTTTGTGAAAGTGCATAGATGTGTCAATCAAACGCGTCCCGAAATTTGTAGTTTCAATAATTTCCAGATAAAATAAGTTTTTTTTAATTTTATTTCCATGTGAAATGCTACCAAAACATATAAGTCATGATATTATACCGAAAATTTGAGAAAATATTAACTTCAAATCTGTGTCTAAGCACCTTTAATTAGATGGGACTACTATTGTCATACTATATCAGTAGAATGAAAAAAAAGTAAAATCATTGAATGTGATCGAAATCGAGATTTGCTTTATATTTTAGACCTCATACCTGACGAAATTATCAGTGATAAAGTACAAGTAAATGTATCGATTAAAAGACTTTCAAGATCAAAATTTTCATTGGAATAAAGATAAATGAAAATGAATACAAGTTTAAACTGATCTTTAGAAATTAAAATGTTAATCGATATGTTTTCATTTATTTGCTCCAACTTCCAACAAATTTTATGACCATCCCCTTCTGTTTCCGAATCATTGTCAGTGGCGGATCCAGGAATCCCGGGGGCCGGAGTAGGAGGTAAGAGGGTCTGGGGGCTGCATTGAAGCCCCAAGTGGGTCTAGGACAAAGCCCTGGTCGCCCCCGGAAGCTGACAAATTCTTACAAATAAGAGATGTTTTTCCTTGATTTTAGGATAATGGATATATAAGTTCTACATACAAAAAGTTCAAACGGTGGGCGCACTCCCGGCGCGCCGGCCCTGGATCCGCCTTTGATTGTCTTAAGAACTGATATATGTATGGATTAAAAAGGAAGAACAATGGGAAATAATTTTATATCTATATAAACCAGAAGTACAAAATGACTTTATGTGATGTAGCTTTTAACTTTGCATTAAAGTACGGTAAGTCATTTTCATTTCTGTATCGTTATATATGTACAGCGCTTCAAAAATTCACAAAAACGTCATACAAATCAAACCTTCTCTTACTATTTGAAGGTGCACCTTCAGATAAGTTATATGATATAGCATAGAATAGACAATTTCCATTTTGCTATAGAAATCAAAGACAGCAATCTGCGATTGCAGTAATATCATCCGGTCTATAGGGTTTGAATATTTTCTTCTTCTTTTTTTTTAAATTTTGACTATGCTGCAAAATCCCCAAAAAATTAATAACAGTAAAAATGTACGTTATTTTTGTAGACGATCTGACAGGATTACCTGTACATCCCCAAGCCACACTACACTCCTCCTCCCGACATTTACACTCTTGTTGACATCCGTCTCCAAAACTAGGATATTTACATGACTGCGCACAGTTTACACCAAAATATCCAGGGATACATTCTAGGTCAATATGAAAAGTAAGAGATCAGAGATTAGAGAACAGTACTGATCATACACTCTAATCAAAGGTCTGTTATATTCTGACGGCTAGAGCCATTGCAAACTTTCAAACTCCATATATTATCTGTATGTTTAAAATTGTATAAATTAGTGAACAAAATAGAGGATATTCAATGTTTTGTAGATGAATATGGAATTTATTTCACAAGTGGGACAGGATTTGTTGATATTTTCACGAGTGCGAAGCACGAGTGAAAATATCAACAAATCCTGTCTCAAGAGTGAAATAAGTTCCATATTCATCTACAAAACATTGAATTTTCTGTTTATTACATTTTCTTAGATTTTTCCTTCGCCTCTTTCTTTTCGTTACACAGTGTCATAGGCCGTGCCGTTATAGTTGAGCGGTTGAGACGTCATAGCTAAGCGATTGCAAGATTGAAAAACGTTGTAAACATGGGTTTTTAACGACATATTTGGAAAAAACTTTGGCAGTATAACTATTAGTCTCTGTCAGGATGGTTCATTAACTCTTTCTTATAACAGGCCAGGGATTGTTTTTAAAAACACTCTTCATGAAGGGAAGGAAAATCGGAAGTTTTGGCACACTTCTGATATTCCCACACTGTGAGAATACCATTTTCTTTTTTGATATCCTTTCTCACTGTGTCAGAATATCACTTTTATTCAGTAAATAAATTACAGTATTTCACTGTTGAAAATGTAATAAATTAACATATTTAATTTGAATCAAAATTATTATATGATTAAAGAAATCTAATTAATGTATTTATTTAACAACATGAATGATGCTGTGAGTTGGAATATTTTAATGATAATTTATGAAATACGAGAAGTTATCAAAAAGTTCTTGGACTGATGCGATAAAATTAATACAAATAGATGTAGTCTATGCTTACAAAATTTATAAAGAACATACATCAACAAAAATTTGAGAAATGTTGAAAAATTTAGCTTGATACGTTGATACGCTGTCGCCGTTTAATCTCATGACGTCCTTCAACGTCATTGTCTCTCAATGTCCACTCTCTCTACTTCGTACACTTATCCTGATGAGATTACCTGGAGTTAAGTAAGGACTTACACCCGTCTTGTTTACCTGACTTTACAATGTCATGAACAGCTGCTTTCAATCCATATAATATTGCAAATTGAATTATAGATAGGGAGAGATCCTCACTTGATTATGCCAGAAAACTTAGTTTGTTGGAGTTAATTTTCTACCACATATGATCAACGTCACTTTTCGACGTGACTGACTTTTGACACCCTGACTACAAATTTACATTAACTGAGCATCTTTAATCTCTCTGAATCTTTTTGGATATTTAAAACAAGTCCTCTGGATGCATTTTATTTCTCTGTAGCCCGTTTAAACATTCCCTAGGTCTATACCAGTCTTTCCAGGTGCGAAACTTAATAGAATGATGTAAAAGAAACCCCTCCCCCTTTTTGACGTCATTTTCAAGCCATTTATTGTTTGGAACTCCTTATAAAATTTACGATAAAATTTCATAGAACGTACAGAATGGGGTAAAAATTGCAAGTTTTACGGAAATTTTTGTCGTACCATATGCCTGAATAAACGGATTTTTTTTATGACATGGTCATATCAAAAGAGTTTTTCTCAGTTACACTCATGCAGAAAAAAAGTCATATTTGAGGTTCCGCCGCCTGGACATACCATTCCTTACAGAAACATTAACAATTTATTAAAAGAAATAAAAGTTGTGATTTATGGTTTATTCTATAGATAGAAAAAATAATGCTAACTAAATTTGTTACAATTCATTGATGTACCTAAAGCGGTATTGATTTTATGGCGTCAGTCAAGTAACATTTTGATAACCCCTCGCACTTACTTGTGCAGTTTTTAAAATTTTCATCCCATTTGTATCCTGAACAACACTCCCTGAATCTGCTTATAATAAAGAAAAAAATATTTTGTTATTTTTTTTTTTTTTTTTTTTTTGCAAATGTATTTAATACACTTTTATAGACCATATCAAAAACTTACCCATGGCCTTCACACTGCGCCGAGCATGCTGGCGTTGCAATTAAATGGACCACTATGCCCAACAGAGCCATTTTAAGTTACGTTTCAATAAAATATATGCTTTACAATATTAAACATTTCCTCGATCCTTAAAACTGCTTGGTGAAGCGCCTATTTTTAGATAACATGGAAATATTTCCTTAATACTTGAGCATCTTTGTAATGTATGTTCGAATTAGTATCCACTTAAGCGGTACAAATACGAACACCCTTAATTAGCATTACATCCGTCATGTATAGAGTCAAATCGTATATCTAATTACACTGGCATATCATTACCTCTCTTGCATGCTTATATATTTTAAAATGTCTGTATATAACATGTACAGTGTATGTAATTAAAACGAAACTGTAACGGTTACAAAGATTTTTACAAGACTATATTATATTACCTCTTTTCTTTTCGTTTTAGGTTTCATGAGCAGTTCTTACAAACCATCAAAAGGAATGCTTTGATATGAACTGTAGATTTTAAAACAACCTTTCTGCTTAATATCGAAAATTTCCTTCATTAAACAGAAACTATAGTACGAGTCTTTACTACCAATGAAAACTTAGAAGTATTTAACCTCCTACGTGTGCAATTTTTGCGATTCCATCCAACCTGCATTTTCCAAAATAACGCGTTTTAATCCCAACCAAAATATTATCTTAAAAAAAAAATAGAAAAAATTACCTTTTATAGGGACTGTATTTACTTAAAACTTCTCATAATTAACAAAGCAAAGAAATGCTATATTGATAACATTGCTCTTTAAAATAATGTTACGTTCCGATAAGTTTACCTGTGAAATTCGGATTAACTGTTGTTGACAAGTTCCGAATAAACGAACCCTGAACCCGATGTGTATAAACTACTAAAATATTTGTCAATGAACAATGAACGAAAGAATTGAACATAATTGATTTATTTGAACTTTATCAATTTGATTCATGTATTGTAATGACAAAGCGTTATATTGTATATGTTCTATATAGGTACAACGTTATTTAGTAATTTTAGTGGTCAAAACCCGCTAACTTACAAATTAGATATTGATTGTGACGTTATTGGTATCTGACGTTTATACGTCATCATAACAACTTTTGTCTATAAAAGACAGCTGATTTGTGTTTAGAAGTCAGACTGCATTGGGTTGCGACTCCGTATACTTCGGGTGTAAGACAGTGGTATGTACAAACAGTACCAAGTCTATGTATACGAAATCATTAGACTGGTGAAGAGTCATTTAGAGTAGAAACGTCCTGGATTGACCATTGGTTCGTCATCTTTGTATTAACCAAATAACGTTGTACCAGCCAAGTGTATCATTGTGCTTATAACTGAACCATTTGATCGTCTTAATAAATATCATAAACTTTACAACGTGTTATTCATCACGGTTCTAGTGCAGATATTATAGTGAACTAAAATTTGGTCATTTCGCCAATTATTCAGTTTACCAAAAATTGGTCATTATTCCGATTGTATATAAACTTTGTGGACAACCATTTCAACCTTGACCAGTTACCAGTAACCAACTGCGGCCCACGATTAAAATGATTAAGTAATAACCTTATACCCTCGGTTTCGTTACAATAACTTTAATTTTTTTTATTTTGAATGGTTATAAAACTTTTATAGGTAATATATTTGCAAATATATTTGCAACCGATTTGCTTGTTTAATGTTGCAAAAATCAGACAAGCTCAAATTTTTTGCACCCCCTTTTTAAGAAGCACTGGTCGAACTGTGATGAAGAGGCAATGCAAAGAACACATTTTTTATGGAAATATCGAAACAAATATGCTCTCTGTTATTTTTCAATAAACGCATAGTTGACGAATGTTATTACAGCTGTGTATATACATGTATCGGAAGGTTTCTTTTTTAATTATATCATTTTTACGTAAATGGTATACACATTTGTTCATGTACGTGAGGAAATAGGTCATATCTTTAAAAATTCTCGCATATACTGAATCGCTATCTATATACTGTCTTATTCAGATATGCTCCCATTGTCTAGTCTGGAATAGATTTTTTTTTTTTTTTTTTTTGGAAATTTCCAACTTTCCCTAATTATACCTTGGTCATCACAATGTGATCTCGATGATATGACATTACTAAATTTTCAATACATTCCAATCAAAAGTTATAGTTTTAAAAATGACTGCATTTCACTACTGTAAACCAACTAACATTCTTAAGGAGTAGATGATTGAATTAATGAATAAATGGTTCGCTGCGAGAAATATTGGCGAGTACAAGAAGGTCGGGAAACTCGCTGATATTGCTCGCACACTGATAAAAGTCGTTGTATAGTTTTTCATTGTTAAGTATCATTTGACCTTTAGAATACGACATTGATTTAAGACCTTGACATACCTTTGGGTCATCAGCAACAATACAATACGGATTTGTTTGAAAAACATTCCAATCTAGTGTTCTAATGTTAAAACACGGACATCAGTATACACTGTCATTGTTCAGTAGACATGACCTTGTATAGAGTCGATGTTTAGGTGATTGGCAACAACATACTAAAGTCTGCATCCACTCCATATGGAAGTTCATGAAATATGGTCCGGAAAATACATGGTACACGTGTATGACTGACATCAACAAGGTAAACAGCTTGAGATAATGTACAATTACAGACAGACAAAATCAAGTTGTCTCCTTCCGTCATAGGTGACATAATGTCAAGCCTATCTATGTATATATATATATATATATATATATATATATATATATATATATATATATATATATATATATATATATATATATATATATATATATATATATATATATATATATATATATATCTTGAAACTCACCCTTGTATCACTTCATAACAGTTTGTCATTCTGTTGATATTTAAATGGTTGTATCGTCAGAACTTTGTTCGCTTTCCAGCTTGTACATGTATATTGGATTGCACCAAAATGATCCTGACTCTTAACTTCCGATATTTATCAAAATCTCTTTCCTGCTCAAGTACGTCATTCTAATTATATTACGATTTATATACATTTCAATAGTGTTTTTAAAAATTCTTGAGATCTTTTTCTCGGAATTATCACTTATTATAAACTAATGAAAGTGAAAAAGAAATTTAACTCGAACTAAACCTACTGGTCTGAAAATTTATTAATATGCACCTACGTTTTAAATATATTTCATCATTTGTAGATTAAACATTCACATGTAGACTTTAAAAAGGAAAATTGATATAGATAAAAAAATAAAACTGGAAAGCTTTAAACTTACACAAATTTTTTGCATTATTCTGAAATTAAATGTACTTTCTTAGTAATATGTAGTAAAATGTGAAATGTAAGAAGATAACGAACAGTATTCAAGATCAAAAGTTCATTCTAATAATACAAATCAGGAGCAGAGCAAACAGGGACCTCTAAAACATCAGAGGTGGGATCAAGTGCCATCGAGCAGCGAGGATATTAGTGGAAAAATACATCCCCAACCGTGCGCAAAAAAATCTTGCGCAGTAAATGGCACTTTATTTTCATTACGGGATCTGTAGCGTTATGGTCAAGTACTAAAATGTAAAACCATAACGCCACAGTTCTGCAGCTAGCATCAAGTACTAAGTATGCATGTTGAGAGTGAATAACAGATTGTTTTACCTCTTTTTAATAAATTATTTTAAGATCAATCAAGACAATAGTATGATACATCTTGGATCACTTTACGAAGCGCACATGGTGTAAAGAACATTGCATTCATTAAAGTTAATTTGTATTCAGATTATTATTTTTTTTTTTTTACATCTTCTCCCCCAACAAGAATACCCACAGTGAATCTCAGTACTTCGCAACATCGACAGCTTTTCAAATCCGCAGTTATCAGATTGAACACGTAAAACAGCTGTTATTATTAGTGTTTATCAACAACTAAAGTTATCAATAACATCAGTGTAAATCACAGACCACTTCGGCTTTCATTTTATGCAAATAAACATTGGTATTTAAGGCAATATTAAAAGAAATTCGATTCTCTAAAAATGTATATTTTTTTGTACTTTTATGAGAAGCAAATGTCTAGTACTTTTACAAGATCATTTCCATGACTTCAAATATCATTGAATCATATAAAGATAAATGAAATGAAAAACTGTTGCCAAAAAAAAAAAATCAATTTCAAGCTTCATTTTGAGTTTTATTTAAATAAAAATTTTAATAGTCACTGTTCCTGTCCAAGGAGCGGATATATTTAGGCATGAAGTATCAGTTAGTGTGGGCTACATTATTTTACACAGAATCTCTACCCAATCTTCAACTAGTCGACAAATCTCAATGTGATACATTACTTTCAATTTAATAAATACTTCATCTATCAGAGTATATATTTTTTTTAACAAAGATAAGGAAATTCTATTGAGATGCAAAGGATAGTAATGTTTCGCCGCTTACCTCAAATAAAGTCAATTTACAAGCGAAGATATATTTGTATGATATTAGATTTATATGAATTTTCACAAAATGTAAGTCATTTGAGAAAACAAAGACATTACTCTCTAATTTCGACAAACTTGTGTTTTTTAACTAATTCTGTCACTATAGAAATCAATGGAAAATTGTTTTTACATCCCCAATTACCACTTTTCCCGTCTTTACAGGTATTATGAATCGTAATTTAACCAATTCATGCCAAAGCATTTGTTGTTTAAGGGGGAAGGGGGGATATATTTACAGACAAAAGCAGCGAATATTTTCATTTTATAACCAATTTCAAATGAGATTATAACTAAAAATAAAATGTACTTTATCTATCGTATGTGTTCCATTTTACATAAGTTAATTATACAAAGAGATTAAAGCCCCATTAATTCTTATCGATGAGTGTTATAAAATCTGCTGTTGTTTTGAACCCTGATTTCAATTGATTAAATGTCTACCCTCCTTTAAAGAAAAACAATTAAATACACTGGTATTAAAATTTGTAAAATTATTAATCATTTACTAATGAACTCTACTTTGCATTGTAAAAAGTTTTAATAGACAAATTGTCATTAATGTTAAATTAATTTGTGTATAATCCCAGCTAGCACAAAAACATTTAAAATTTTTTTTTAAACGTTTTCAAAATGTTACGAAAACATTTTTCAAAAATGTTTTAATCACGTAATTTTATATGTTTTTTAAACGTTTTTAAAACATTTTGGCAAAATATTTCAGCAGATGTTATCAGAACATTTTATTAAAATGTTACGAAAACATTTTTCAAAAATGTTTTAATCACGTGATTTTGTATGTTTTTTTAAACGTTTTTAAAACATTTAACAAAATATCTAAGCAAATGTTATCAGAACATTTTCCTAAAATGTTACAAAAACGTTTTTGAAATGTTTTATTCACGTGATTTTGTATGGTTTTTAAAACGTTTTTAAAACATTTTACCCAAATGTCGCAATGACATATTTTTTCTGAAATGTCACTGAACGTTTTCATTAAATCATATGAGAATATAATTGTGTTTGATTTTAAAAGCGCTTTTCATACATTTCATCTTAATTAATTATAACTATCAAAGAATTAATCACAACTAAATGAATTTAATTTTTTACAAAGAATGGGTGGACTTAACGCCGCATTTTGGATCTTTTTGAGATTCTTATACCAAGCTGTTATTGGGATGAATCCAAGATATTTTACAAGCATTGTGAAGATCGATGTATGCATGAATGTATTGGGCAGAAAACTTTTACATAAGCAATACTTTGGTGTCACAAATCAAAATTGAAGTACCTATGCATAAGCGTTGCCATCCGGAATTTGACATATACCCGGGGTGGTTTTTAGGTCACCTAATCAATATTTATAGGAGGCGGGGCTATCGATTAGTGTCACATGTATACATTCCACAGCTTATTCTCTCTCTCTTAATATTTCTTATGAAAACAAAAATAAAATATCACTAACTTTACAATATGAATGACTCGGTTGATTATTATGGATATTATTTATCTATTTATAGAAATAATCACGCATTCCACCCGCAAAAGTCATTACGCGCGGCTTTGCTACTAAGTGCCCTTCTGAAAAAAATACTCATCATGACATGCATGTGTATGTACATTGACAGAGATTTCAGTTGAACGAAAACTTTTGTTGTAATTTCTTAACATTAAGTTTGCAAGGTAGAGTATTTTTTTGCAAAAACTATATTATTAAAATACTTGAAGCGAATTTTACAATTCTATAAACGTCAATAGTGTGGAGAAATACATTTTTTATTTTTTTATTCGTAGGTTTAAACACCACAGAGAACATCTTTATGTTACAGAATGAATGTCGTCGGCAACCTAAAAAATTTCTCATAAAACATTTTTTTGAAACGACTATATGTTGAATGTTTTGATCTTTTTTGAGGCTTTACAGTTTGTCAACAATACAAACGACTCAGTTTGCACTTTGTTCCATTTTGTGACTAAAAATAGAACATATGCGTTTTATGTTCTTTTTTTGGAAATAACTCAGAAATAATAATAATAAAAAAAAAAAATAGCGAAAGTCTGAAGGGAGTAAAAAAAAAAAAAATCAGGATGCCCAGAAATTAAAAAAAAAAAAAAAAAAAAAAAAAAAAGTTCATTAACCTATGTTTGCAAATTGCAGTAACAAAATTGAATGGTATATTAGTTGTGTAAATATTTATATATAATATATTTCATAAATGTCAAATCCTGAATGTTGCAATTTTAAGCCCTAAAATGATAATTTTGTTATTTGTGTAGTTTTTTTGGGTAGTGGGGAGGACGTTTAGTTCCTGAGTTTTCCACATCCGTCCGAGGAATACTTGAGATCCCTGACTTTTATCATAAGAGATATATGAAAAATGTAGGAAACAGAAATGGTCAACTAGAAAAAAATATTTTTACATTTAGCATGTGATTTTCTTATTCCCTCGCCTCAGTTGGAGTTTGAGTTTGCGCTGTATGAAACGGAAGTGAAATAATTTGCATCGGGAACGGTTTTGAATGCTATTTTGATTGATAGATATGCTCTTTGCGAAGCATTGCTGCGCTTTGCGGTGCCCTTGTAGATTTTGTCATTACATGGTGTCTTTAAAACTGATAGAAATCCCGTCCAGAATTACAATCGTTCTTATTTATTCGTAGAAAATAACCTAATTACAAGGAATATTAACATAAAAACAAAGTTACTTTCCAATTTCCATCAATAAATAATTAACATGTAGATATTTGATTGGCTACAATTAACCAGACGAGCAACTAATGTTCTTTAAATTGAAGCCTTTTAGAATGGGGTTATTGCTTAGAATGTATTGTAAATAGTTGTAAACATATGAAATCCACTTCAGAATTTCTATACTCATATTCAATCGCTACATTTTAACATTTAAGGACTTTCAAGTAATTATTCAGTTGTGGAAGGCTGAAGGGGGGGGGGGGGGTTAAATTATTTACAAGTAGAATTACAGTCCAGTATGTTACTAGGCATCAAACTAGGTACAGTAGACTCGTTATATCTCTGTATCCCTATAAACCAAAGAACAGATGCTACGTGAGCACAACTCCCGACCAATCGAGCTCCTGACCTGCACTGGCAATGCCATAATTTCACGGGATCTTCTGCGTCCGAAGCATCATACTGGACCCAAAGGTAATGGCATTTAGATACGTGCCGGGATTGAATTTTTGCTTGTAGAATACCAGGCATGTCTTTTCCAACAAATATGTCATACCCACCGTCCTCATCTAAATGCTCAGCTGAGTATGAGGAGGCCTGTTTCAGCTGGTAGATACCGAAAGTCAGGGATCTCAAGTAATCCTCAGATAGATGTGGAAAATCTGGAACTGCATCTCTAGCATCAATCTTTGTCATTTTAATACCGGCTCGCCTACCAGTGTCCTTAATAAAA